TCAATGTTAATATGCTATACAGTCTTATAACTTTCAGCTTAATATGTCATAGATAACTGTATCAACTGGAAAACATTTGAAACAGATAAAAGATTTTCAGGAAAATATAAATTAGAGTAGGAGTCATGTCAGACAATTAAATGAACATGGCAAATACCCCTAGTTAACAAATTTCAAAAGCTAGCCCCCGGAGCTGCTTCGCAAAGAAAAGAATGCACTTATACCTCCAATGCATTCCCGATGGTATCACCAATGTGGTTCAAAGACGATGTGAGTGCATCCAGGCCCTTACGCAGTTTAGGATTGTCCACTTTTCTGGAAAATTTGGGTTCTGATATTGCCGATAATACTGGATATTGAGAAGGATATGGGGAAGTTAGATAAAAAGCTCATAATACAAGCATGAAGTGTCATAGAAGCACTTCCTTGCATAAACAGAAGAAAGAAGGTATTGAAAATGGGGATAAAATGAGAGAATAGTTGTAGTTATATTCCTGCTTGAGCTTATGCTTGTTTTTTATTAGAAGAAAAGAGAGGAGTCAATTATCACCTGGGTTTCTTTAAGGATGCTGCTGGCTGGAGCTTCGAATTGCTGGGAAATATTGTCATCGTCAAGAATTGCTTTAGCTTTTCTAGACAGAACATCCCAAAAACCACCGGCTTCATTGGAACTTGACAGTGATGTATATTCATAGGAAGCAGCAGCCTGGTTCCAAAGTAAATTTCACGCGAATATCAGCACTAAGAAGGTAGTTATGACTTATGCTAAACTATGGGGCACAACGAAGTCAATGCCGACTATTCAAATTACATATCGAGTTCAAATTAAAAATCAGAACATGTACCGGTAAGAGATAGTTTAATTAGTTAATGAACAAACCAATTAACTAGGCCCCAAACTCAAATTAATTGAGATCTGCTGTACGAATATTTTGTAATTCCAAACAATCAGGTGCATTTCATGCCAATACTAAGTAACTCTGCTAAAAAAAACTGAAACTTTCTATTTTTTTTCAAAAAATGAATGTATATGAATTTGATGTTCACAGCATCAGATATAGGAGTTTTCAGGTTAACAGCAGAAGAAAGATATGCAAATACTCCAAAGGAAGTGACTTTTATTCTCTAATCTACAAAGAATCAAGGGCCTGGTTCAGTTGTGGTCCAATAGCCTGTATTGCAAGGTCAAAATACACAGATAGTGTAAAACGTTGCTTACACATGACTGTCAATGTATATAACTTAATCCATTTTGCAGTTATATAAGCACATGACTGGTTCGAAGAAGACAGGGTGATCAGAGAGCACGATACAATACAATGTATGTATTTATATATATAATATAAGAAAAGAAGAGTGAGCGGATCTGACCTGAGAAGGATGAGGATGGGGAAAAGCGGAATCGGCATAAGCGGAGGAGAGAGAAGAGTCCCGATGAGCGGCAGAGGCTTTAATAGCCTGAGCGGCAAGAGAAGAAGAAGAAGAAGATAAGTAATCATCATCATCGGGACGCGGACGGAAAATGCTCTCCTCCTTGAACGTTGACGACTTGCTCGTCCCTTGCCTCCTTCTGTACGCCATCCTTAATTATCGATCACTTCCTACTACTCCTATAACNGGGGGGGGGGGGAAGAGAATGTGCGGGAAAGGAATCCAAGTTTGTAACCAACTCCTCCTTTTAAGTAGACATTATTTAATGCCTTTTTTTAATTATTGATCCCACCGTCTCATAACTGGAAAGTCTTTTTTTTCTTTTCAGTTTGCCCCAATTTCCACTACAGCACAAAATTGGCCCCATTACCCAATTGTCACATATTTAATTAAGCGAATTATACTTTGAATTTACGTGTTAGTTAAACGTTGAATTTCTAAATAAAAATTTTAGTTGTCAGCTTTATTTAGCTATCTCCCTTTAAAATACTAGTCTTAGGGTACGTGTTTTGCACGTGTACCCTAACTCAACGAGTAATATATTTAAAATAATTATATAAATATTATATTAAAATTATATTTGAGTTATTAAAATAAATATTTACATAATTTAAATAAGAAAAAAATTCGTATGACATATGTAATATTAAAAATTTATATGCAATTCAAATAGTGAAGGATTTAATGCATAAAATTTAATTAATTAAAAGTATTGTCAACCCTTCTTTTACTTGTCATTAAGTAAATTCCTTAAATTGAATTTATTTTTAATTTATTTTAGTTCTTAGATTTTAAATTGATACGACATCTAGGGTCAAACTTCCTAATATTTGGTAAGAGAATATTTAAGTCAAATCGTTTTTAATATTTAGCTTAGAGTTATTGCTTAAATCTTTGATGTTAGAAGTAATGAATTTTATAAGGAAAGAATTTATATTGCTAAAATATTTCTTTATTTTAAATTCTTCGATATAGAAGTTTGTATATAGTTCGAATAAGGAATGATTTAATATTTAAAATTTTAATTAATTTTGAAGCCCTAAATATTAGAAAAATAATTAAATAATTATTCGTAAATATAAGGAAAATAATTAAATGTCTATTCCTAAATATTAGGGAGATAATTAAATAAATATTCATAAATATTAGGATAATAACTAAAAGACTATTTTGTCTAGTCTGAACTCTAGTTTTAAAGGGTAAAAAAGGCAAACGACATTTCGTTAAGAGCCTTCGTACTTTTAATATAGTATAGATAGATATAGATATGTCAATAGTAATATATAAAACGACAAAGCTCCAAATATACCCATATACTTTCGAAAATGGTCTAAGAATACCCCTTGTTATACTATTGGGTTATCTATACCCCTGTAGTCATACTTTGGATTCAAATATACCCTTCATTTAAACGGAGGGACACGTGTCATTGCCCTGTTGACCAATTCTAAATATCTCCTAATTAATTAAAAAGACTCATTATTTGGTATCCAAAAAGTAATTTTTTTTTGTAAAAACTGAATTGTTTTTACTAAAAACTGAAAAAAACGAAAATATTTTTTTTCCTGTTTTTACAAAAAAACTGCTTTAAAAAAAATTAAAAAATAATTTTTAAAACTATATTTTTGTAAAAACGGAAAAAAAATATTTTTCTAAAACAATTAAAAACTGGAAAAAACTAAAATTCTTTTAACTAAAAACTGAAAATAAAAAAAAAGAAAATATTTGTATTTTCAGTTTTTACAAAACCATTGCTTTAAAAAATTACTTTTCTGTTTTTTTTTTGTTTTTCCAAAAAATATTGCTTTAGAAATTATTTTTCAGCTTTTTTTAAAGCAATATTTTTCTAAAAACTGGAAAAAAATATTTTCCATTTTTTCAGTTTTTATTAAAATACATTCAGTTTTTCTAATTTTTAATTGCTTTAGAAAATTATTTTTCTGTTTTTACAAAAATATTATTTTAGAAAATATTTTTCAGTTTTTTTAAAACAGTTTTTTTGTAAAAACTTGGAAAAAAATATTTTTGCTTTTTTTCAGTTTTTAGTAAAAAAATTCAGTTTTTTCCAGTTTTTACAAAAAAAAAAAATCGCTTTAGAAAATTACTTTTCGGGTATGGGTAATGTGTGTTTTTAATTAATTAGGAGATATTTAGAATTGGTCAATAGGACGATGACATGTGTCCCTCTGTTAAAATGAGGTGTATATTTGAATCAAAAGTATGACTGCAGGTGTATAGATAACCCAATAGTATAACGAGGGGTATTCTTAGACCATTTTCGAAAGTACAGGGGTATATTTGGACCTTTGCCGTATATAAAATACACTTATAATCTAAAAGTGAAAATTTTCATTTTCAAACGTCTCTTCCTCCACAATTTAACGTTGACGAAGACAACGTAAATTACAAGATGGGATGCGCTTAAATAATTATAAATAATAATAAAATTATATATTTACATATAGAGGGACAGAACTAGAGTGCCGGGAGCGGGTTCGTTCGAACCTAATAGCTTTGGTTCGAATTCTGTATTTGTCTTAAAAATTTTATTGAATATGTATAAATTATTAATCTAAAACTCAGTAACTTCAATCGATTAGAATCTCGAACCCATAAACTTGAAATTCTGACTCTGTCTCTATACATATATATAATTATTCTTTAATACAAGTCTTGTTCAAGGTATTAATGTTGTCCATCCCACGCCATTTAGTACACTTTTTATTCCAAGTAACTGTCTAATTTTTGTTTCATGTTCTCAAAAAAAAAATAGTAATAAATGTGAAGTATTACCATAACAACCAAAGCAATTTACAACCTAAAGAGCCTCTAGTGTCCTTCTAGGAAGAGTACCTCAAACACTAGATCCCAAGACAAAAGAAACAGAAGTCTAGTTACATAATTTCTGAATTAACAACCGGCTTTTGCGAGCTCTTTTCGACTTACACAGTATACCTATTCTATCATTGATCTCTTTTTGAATCTGAGCAACTACAAAGTCTCTCCCCGCAGTACCTTTCCCATGAAAATCTTCCAGTTTCTTGCTTGTTAAGTGTAATTTATCATGGCACCCCTTACTACTGCAACTATTTCCTTCTGAAATTCCTCATTAACTTGTTTTGTTAGGATCGGGAAACCGTATAGTGCAGAATTTAACCAAACAATGTTATAATAACAATAACAAAGACAATACAAGTTGATAATAACGACAATTAAAGAAGATAAAAAAGACACAAATTTAACGTGGTTCGGTCAAGGTGACCTACGTCCACAAGCGGAGAGGAGCAATTTCACTATACCAACAAGAGTACAAAATTAGAGTAAATACTCTAATTAGTCCCAAATACCCCAAGAGAATAACCTCACAAGATCACTCCAAAGAAAGCGTTCACACAAGTGTTTCCAAACACTCACTCTCTTACAAAATACTCTATAATGAAATAAAGGATGAGAAAGAAAGAAGAGTGAAAAGCTCTTGAATTAGTGTGTTTACAAACGAGGAGAAACTCCTCTATTTATAGTAAGAAATCCTCGGCCTAATAGTGGATATTATGTCATAGCAAATATCATGATCCACAAATTTTGTTATAGTGGATATTATGCCATGGCAAATATAATGAAAATTTGGCCACCACTTGAGAAGAAGCCAAATTAATGGCCATATAACAAATCTCCACATTGGCCTAATTTCGGCTTATATAGAGTAAATTACCACCTTCTCCGTACAAACCTTAATGGGTAAAATCATTCTTCATAAATACCAATCAAGTTCAGGCAAAGCTTGAACTTGGACACTGGAAGAGATTTTGTGAACATGTCAGCAGGATTGTCTCTAATGATGATCTTCTGAACAGAGACTTTTCCTTTAGTAATAGTTTCTCGGATGAAATGATACTTTATATCAATGTGCTCTGTCCTCTCATGATACATTTGATCTTTAGTCAAGTGAATGGCACTTTGGCTATCACAGAAAATGATAATACCACCTTGGTGTGAACTCAGTTCCGCAAATAGACCCTTCAACCATAAAGCTTCTTTGATCGCCTCGATCACTGCCATATATTCTGCTTCGGTAGTAGATAAAGCTACTACATGTTGTAATGTAGCTTTCCAACTAATAGCGCATCCACCGATGCAAAATACATAGCCTGTCAGTGATTTTCTTTTGTCAAGATCACCTGCATAATCTAAGTCTACAAAACCAACCAAAGTGTTAGTATTTCTCCCAAACTCCAAACATGTGTTTGAAGTACCTCGCAAGTATCTGAGAATCCATTTCACAGCATGCCAATGTGTTTTACCAAGGCAAGCCATATACCGACTTACCACGCTCACTGCTTGTGAAATATCTGAACGTGTACAAACCGTTGCATACAGCCGACTGCACTGGAATAAGGAATTTGTGCCATGTACCTCTCTTCTTCCTCTGACTGCGGGGATTGAACAGCTGATAACTTAAAATGAGCAGCAAGAGGGGTACTAACTAGTTTAGCATCTTTCATGTCAAACCTCTCCAAGACTTTCTCCAAGTACTTCTTCTGGGTCATAAATAGCCTGTTGGATTTTCGATCTCTTTTGATCTCCATGCCAAGGATTTTCTTAGCTGCTCCCAAATCTTTCATCTCAAATTCACTTTTCAGCTGACTTTTCAAATTGTGAATTTCTGTTAAATCCTTAACAGCAATAAGCATGTCATCAACATATAATAATAGGTACACAAATGAACCATCATTTAACTTCCGAAAGTAAACACAACTATCATGCATGCTCCTCGAATAACCATGAACCAACATAAAGGAATCAAACCTTTTATACCATTGTCTTGGAGAATGCTTTAATCCGTACAAGGATTTCTTCAACAAGCAAACATGATCTTCTTTTCCTTCAATTTCAAATCCTTCGGGTTGATGCATGTATATCTGTTCCTCAAGTTCGCCATGCAAGAAAGTTGTCTTAACATCAAGTTGTTCTAATTCTAAATCATACATGGCAACGAAGGCAAGCAAGACACGAATAGAGCTATGTTTAATAACAAGTGAGAAAATAACATTAAAATCAACTCCTTGTACCTAACTGTAGCCCGTTGCAACTAATCGTGCCTTATACCTCGCATCTTCAACCCCTGGAATGTCATCCTTTTTCTTGAAGACCCATTTGCAACCAAAAATTCTTTTTACTGA